ATTTTTATAAAGTAGTTCACAATATTTGATTACATTTAATATTCGAACGCCAATCCCACCACCATTACACCTTCCCACTACCATATTCTGGATGTTTCCATCCCGAACCCCAATACCTGCCCCCAAAGCAGAACCAAAATAATTTATTTTGTATTGTTTGTTATGAATAATCTGCTAAAAATGATCCAAAAAAGATTTCTTAGAGGAAAGTGTGTGAACATTGTTGTGTTTCACCCAGGAGCCATTAAGCCCTTCTATAAGAGATTACTAACATGTTGTTGAAGGTTGAGCCTTGTGTGCTTATATACATATAAGCTGAAGAAGGTCTATAAAGAAGACCACACCTTCTACAAGGTCATTGTTGGTGATTTTAATGCCAAGATAGGACCAAGAAGGTCACCCAAAGAACTACACACAGTGACCCATGGCCTAGGATGGAACGAACAGGGTGAGAGACTGTCTGAATTCATCATGTTAACCAAGACCATCCATGGTAACTCGCAGTTCCAGAAGCCCGAATCTAAACATTGGACATGGGAGTCTTCCAGTGGACAATTCCACAACAAAATTGATCACATCATATTTAATCGACGGTTTTGCCGGACTGATGTCGCTGTTGTCCCAGAATTCCAAACGGGATCAGACCACCATCTCTTTCATGCATAACTCTAATTCACAGAGCAGGGATAAAGGGCTGCAAAGTTTAAGAAGAAAACTCCCAGAATGGCCACCAATAGCTTTTTGGCACTATTGCAGCAATATGGGAAGATGCAATATGACAACATTGACAAAGAATACGATTAACTGGTTTAGCACCTCCATGATTGGTAGGAATGCCGAGAGAGAGAAAGCCACAAAAAGACGCCTGTCTTTGGAAACTCTCAGCTCATTCACTAACATGGTTTAGTGCGAGCCTCAGGCAATCACAAGCTAACATCTGAGCTTGCAAAGCTGTGCAGCAATAAAGGAAGACCTCAAAGAGACAAGAGCAGCAGTGTTGGCCACAGGATGGATATGTCGTTCCCAGAGTTATCCCTTCTGAAATCCGACATCCCATTTCGTCTTAAAGATGTTTACAGCACCCGGTCCAGACAAGGTCAGACCCGAATACCTGAAGAATCCGCCGCCAGTACTCACCAATACACTGGCTCAGCTCTTCACACACTACCTATCTGAATGCAAGGTTTCATCCCAATGGAAAACCAGCAGGACTGTTCTGTTGTACAAGAAGGGAGACATTCACGACATCGACAACTATCGCCCTATCTGCCTGTTGTCTGCCGTCTACAAGTTATTCACTCGAGTCATCCTGAATAGGATTGGCAGAACACTAGATGAAGGACAACCACTCGAGCAAGCTGGGTTCCAAAAAGAATTCAGCACAATCGACCATATCCACATGGTGACCAAGCTCATTGAAGTTTCGTGAGAGTTCAAGATGCTGCCCTGTCTAACATTCATTGATTTGAAGAAGGCCTTTGATTCTGTTGAGACTGAAGTGGTCATTGAAGCCCTAGCCAAACAGGAGATTGAACCTCAGTATATCAGGATCTTCTATGAGCTGTATTTCGGATTTATCACCAGGATCTCACCATTCTACAAGGAAGTGATCATCAATGTAAAAGAGAGAGGTTCGATAGGGTGATACCATTTCACATTTCACTGAGTTTCATCTTCAGTGCTGCCCTCGAGAACATCATGCAGTAATTGGAATGGGAAAGAATGGGAGTGAAGATAGATGGTCGGCAAATATACCACCTCCGCTTCGCTGATGACATCGTTCTAATAACACCAAATATCAGCCAAGTGGCACGAATGCTGGCCGACTTCAACCGTGATTGTGGAAAGGTCAGACTGCAGCTGAATTTTACGAAGACAATGTTTATGAGAAACGGACTCGTTCTTGATATTCCATTCACTCTCAATGGAACTAACCTCTCCGAATGCAAAAGTTATGTGTACTTAGGTTGAGACCTCAATATGACGAATGACCTGGCACCTGAGCTGCGCAGGAGGAAGAGAGCAGTGTGGAACGCCTTCAAGATCATCGAAGAAGTGGTTAAGAAGACGAAGAACCTCTGGCTCCGGGCACATCTTTTTGATTCCACAGTTCTTCCTGCACTAACATACACTTCAGAGACCTGGGCCCTAAGAAAACAGGATAAGAACACTATTCGAGTCTCCCAAAGAGGAATCTTGGAGTATCACACTTCACTCAAGAGAGAGAAGGAACCTGGAGTTCTGACCTCCGTTGATGATCAGGAATCAGGGACGCTGTCTTGTTTGTCAATGTGTTGAAAATTAGATGGGCCAGACATGTAATGCGATTCAGAGATGTGTGCTGGACTAGAGCTGTTACTGACTGGATTCCATGGGACGTCAAAAGAATACGTGGCTACCCATGTACGAGATGGTCAGACTTCTTCGTCAAAACCCTGAACAAACGGTTTGAGGCTCTTCATGTTCCTGGAACGAGCAGATGCCATTGGGCTATACTAGCTCATGATAGGGATGAATGGAGACATTACTGGCACCTGCTTGAGCAAATTGATGAGCAATGGGATGACAAGTGATACAAATGATATGTGTGTGTGTGTATGTGTGTCTGTCTGTCTGCCTGTAAAAATATATTTCCCCCAAAGATTGGCTGCCTTCTACTCTAAACCCCATCAAATGTGGTGTGCTACTCTTGGAATATTAATGGTGTAAAGTTGAGATGTCATACAATCCAGGTATAGGTTCATCCCAAGTGTGTGGAGGGTGAGGCTCAACCCGAGTGTGTGGAGAGCGTCCGTGAGCAGGGCAGTGGTTGAGTTCTGGAGGTTTTTGGCTGCTGGGGCTGGGTCCCTTGGGTGGGGGAGGGGGCCTCACCCACCCTTTTGGGTTGCCCTGAATGAAACAGCCTGGCATGGGGCCTGGAGGCATGGTTATGGCGCATCGGTCTGTGTTCTCTTCTGAGAGATGTACTGTTGAATCTCTGGATCATGACCACTGATGAGATTGTCTGGCACCGGCCAGAGATGGCTTGTGGGGGTGACAGCCAAGTGCTGGAAACAGGGAAATGGGATTGGGGGAGACTTTTGGTTACCATTTAGATTTCCTCAGGAGTGATATGTCAGCTGTGCGCCAGACAAACACCCTGCCCACTCTTCTGTCTTCCGAGCCCTGCGGAGCTGGTTCCCTGGCTTCTGCTAGGGAAGAAGAGAGACTGCTGACTGTAGTGGAGCAATAGTCTCTCCCTTCCTCAGTGAGCTGCTTTTTGAACAGGAAGTAACCTCTTGCCTAGAGACCTGGATCCTCAGAGAAGACCTTCCTCTGCTTCCCAGAAGACACCAAACAAGCCCTGTACTTGGTTACCTGAAGTGACCTGTGAAATAGACTTGAAATTCGGAGCTTCCCGGTCCTTGCAGTGCTGGGTCATTTTTCGTGTGTGCAGAACAAGCAGGCTTCGCGTACCCTTCCTCTGCACACAGCAGGAAGTCAGTCAGGGGGCTGCAGAGCAGGACAGTGGGAAGTGCCTGTCTTGCATGTGGCCGGCTTGGGTTTGATTCGCATCCCATGTGGTCCCCTCAACATACCAGGAGTAATTCCCAGTCGCAGTCATGAGCAAGCCACCAGGTGTGGCCCCAAAACAAACAAAACAAAACAAAACAAAAAAATGGAATAAGTTAGATTATTTTTTTAGAGGGGGATAAGCAGCTAACTGTGAATCGCTAGCTAGAGGAGCTCTAAGGAGACGGTGAAGAGGCTGGGAAGGGGTGAGCTGTGGTGGGCTGGTGAGTGAGGGACAGTAGGGATGGAGGATTGAGTGCCACCTGCAGACTAGGCCAAGGGTCTCAGCAGCTGGAATGAGCCCCCCTGAGGCTCTGAGTGTGGCACCTGGCTCTGAGGGGAGAGTCCCCCAAGTACTCGCAGCCCAGTGGCCCCTGGCCCTGGCCAGGTCTACCAGCATGGGGCCGACTCTGGTGTGGCCTGCTGTGCGCTGCTTTATTGCTGTGCTTGCTGTGACTGCGTTTGCGGGGGACACCCCCAGCAGAGCTTAGGGGACCGTGCAGCCTTAGAGGTGGGGCTTGCCCTCCCTTCCCGGGTGAAGTGTGTGCTCTGAGTCTTCAAGCCACTTTCCTAGTTCGTGCTGTGATGTGTTTTTACCCAGGAGACAGACAAGAACATAAGGCTGGGAGGGAAGGGTCTGTGGTGGAGGCAGGCCTGGCAGCCCCCTCGGAGTAAACAGGTGGGCTGCGTGTACAGAGGAGAATGGAGAGCGTGAGAATCCGGGTGACTGTGAGGGGCATGTGCTGAGCGCGGGGGGTGGGGGGTTTCCTTGGACTGGCTGGGGAAGGCTCGGCTGTGGGACCAGGTGCCCGGCTCATGACCGGCAGTGACGTCTTCGAGACTCAGGTGCGTCCTGAGCACACACGGGTCTGGGGCACTGACAACTCCCTCCCGCTGGAGGCCAAACCCCCCCGAGGGGGGCGTCCCCCAGAGTACAGGGGTGAAGGCTTCCCTTGCCCCCCTCAGATGCACCTTAAAAACGGCCAAGTCAGAGGCCAGAAGGTCGTGCAGCCAATAGGGCGCTCGCCTGGATTGATCATTGGCTCCCTGTAGGGTCCCCAAGTCCCCCCAGTAATGATCCCTGAGTACAGAGCCAGGGGTAAACCTTGAGTGCTATTGGGTATGCCCCCAACCCCCACCACCCACCAAAAAAGATCGGTTGAGAGGTAGTACAGAGGGTAGCATGCTTCCCTTGCACGTGGCTGACCCTGGTTTGATCCCCAGCACTTCTTAAGGTCCTTTGAACCCCACCAGGAGTGAACCCTGAACCCAAAGGTAGGAGGAAGCCCAAGCATTGCCAGGTGTGACCCAAACCCATTCCCCTTCAGATCAGCTCCCAGCACGGAGGGAACTGGAGCCAAGGGGGTCCTGAGGGGGTGTGGCGGAGGGGTGGGGATGGCTGGAGAGCACCACAGAAGCCTCAGCTGCCCTCGTCTGTCCCCACTCAGGAGCTGTTGGACGCCAAGCGCACCCTGCAGGACCTGCTGGTGACCAGGGAGGAGCTGGAGGAGCTGCTGCGGCGGCGGGAGCGGGAGCTGACGGCCCTCAAGGGGGCCCTCAAGGCCGAGGTGTCCAGCCACGACCAGGAGATGGACAGACTGAAGGAGCAGTACGATGCGGAGCTGCAGGCCCTGCGCGAGAGTGTGGACGAGGCCACCAAGGTGAGTGGGCATGTGCCCTTGCGCCCTGCGAGAGAGCGTGGGCGAGGCCACCAAGGTGGGTGGACACGTGCCCTCATGCCCTGCTACTGTCCTCCCACAGTCAAAATGGAAATAAGGGATGAGAAAGCAGAATGGCTGCATTCGGTAAAGGCTGCACTTAAGCAAGGGAAAGTCAGCAGCAAAATTCCGGGTATGGGAGGGGCCTCCTGAAGCGGATTCCCTGGAATTCTTTTTAAAAATGGAGTCACTATGAGATGCACAGTTACAGAGTTACTCATAATTGGGTCTCAGTCATACTGTGTTCGGACACTCATCCTTTCACCAGTGCGTATTTCTTATTACTAATATCCCCAGTTTTCTTCAAATAGAGTTTTGTCCCTTAATTTTTTCACTTTCTGGAACCGCTGGTCTTCATACATCCTCTAAATCTTTTGCAATTTACTTTTTAAAATATTTTATTTTGCTATCTTTTGAAATAACTTTTTGCTGATCATTTTGGTTGCTCCCCACTCTCCTATCTTCTCGTTTATTTTTGTTCTCTACTTTTTTGAATTTTTTTGTTGAGCTGAGAGGAGATAATTTTAAAAGACCACAGACAAAGCAGCTGCTACCACATCGCAAATATTTGGAAAATTAATGTCTGAAGGGAAAGAAAATGGTTTAATTTTATTATCAGTCATATATTATGTTGCAAATATTTGAAAAATTAATGTCCAAAAGGGAAAAATGCTTTAATTTTATTATCATCAATGCTTTTCAGCCCTCTCCTTGACCCTCTTAAGCTCTGCCTCCTGAATATTTTTCTAAGGACTTGCCAAGACCTTTAAGTAGATTGCTGCCTGACGGGCAGACTTGTTGCTATTATTTGATCACTTTAAGCAGAAAATGGGACATGTCACAAGCTTATCTAAATCCTTGAGGTAGGAATCAGTGCTGACTCGGAAATATTTCCACTGCCAAAGCAAATCAAGAGCTTTACAGCATCCAGTAGAGCTGGTCTGAAGAGGGTCCAGGGCTGTGTCCTTCCGGAACTCTCCCTCCTTTGGGACCTGAGTTGATTCGGGTGGGTTCAGGTGACCCAACAGTGATTATGGTCCCGATGGAGTTGGGCCTTCCGAGACTGGGTCATGTGTGACACCGGCATTCCCTGTGCGTCTCCCAAGGCATGCCAGTGGGAGTGTCGGGGCGAGGGTCTCCTGCCATCCCGGCCGTGCAGTCGTTCCCAGTGGCCGGAGCTTTGGCTACTGTTTCCATCAGGTCTCAGGAGGGCTTGAGTCAGAGCTGCCTGGTGAAGCTCTGTGGCTGTCTCTGTGTCAGCTGCTGGATATTGGGCCTGCTTGTCACCTGTGGCTTTCTCTCTCTGTGTGGCCAAGCTCTCTCTCCCCACTGCACTTCCCAGCCGCTCTCCGGGGCTCAGGGCTCGGGTTGTCCTGGTGGCGATTCTGAAGGAGAGTTCACCTTTGGCATCCTTCAGGCCACACACACCCCGTGTAGGGACACCCTTGGTGCAGCCTGCTCCCTCTCCTGTGCCCAGGCATCCCCTTAGCCAGGATACTGCATGAGCCACCTCCTTCTCCTTTCCTGATACCCCGTGGCACGCAGGGCTTACTCCGGTCTCTGTGCTCAAAGCTGACTCTTGGTGCTCAGGGGATTCGGCATTGCTGGGGATGGGACTTGGGTCAACCCTGTGCAAAGCAAGTGCCTTACCCCGTACTCATTCTTTATTGTACCCTACAAAGTCCTACCCTGTGTGGCTAGAACAGGTGTGTATATGTGTGTGTCTGTGTGTGTCTGTGTGTCTCTGTGTGTGTCTGTGTGTCTCTGTGTGTCTGTATCTGTGTGTCTGTCTGTGTCTGTGTGTGTCTTTGTGTGTGTGTGTGTGTGTGTGTGTGTGTGTGTGTGTGTCCTCGTGCTGGTTTGGTCAGCACAGGCACTGTGGCGCTGTCCCTGAGTGTGCCCATTGGCAGGCCCTGTCAGAGCAGTAGAGTCCTTGAGCTGTGTGGGCTACAGGGTCTGGCACTGCACCTGCCGCCACATGTGACCATAGTGGTCCCACATTTGGGCTCCAGGTATGAGCAGTCAGAGGCAGGTGTGATGGGAAACACCTTCCACCTGGGTGACCCCGGGACTTGAACTTGTCTGAACTGGATTTCTCAGGGGGTTCACAAAAGACAGAAAAGAGCAGCGTGTTTGTTCCACTGGTGCCGTTCTCATAGGAATGAGGCAAGTCAGGTTGTTCTGGCGGAGGAGGGGTGAGTGGGAGAGGGCTGGGAGTGGGGGAGGCTTGCGGCTTCTCTAGGGGATGCCAGGGGTGAGCGTGGGCCTTGCCTAGGGGGACTCAGGACTGGCGGGGGGCCAGGCCGCCACAGCCCTCCCAGTGTTTCCCGTCTCTTCCTTTCCTTTTGTTAAGTGCCTGTTTTCTTAAGTGTGTGGTCCAGAAAGAAGAAATACTGTGTCAGGGCACAGGGAAATGCTGAGTGATGAGGAGTCAAGGAACTGGGCGTGCTTCAGACATGTGGAATCAGACGGCTGGCGCCCAGCCAGTGCCTGACAGCCTGGAGCTGGCACCAGCAGTGATCCTGGGAGCGCCCAGCCGCCGCTGGGGGTGTCCAGGGGCCCAGGCTGGGCCATGTTGCTAGTGGCCAGCACCAGTGGGCTCGGAGGCCTGTGCTGAGCCCCAGCCGAGTCCTCGTGGCTCTGGAGAGTAGGCAGGGGGCCGCCCTGCGGAGTCCCACAGGCAGTGTTTGGGGGTCCTATTCCTGCACTGGGCAATGATTCTGAGTCCTGTGTGGAAGCACATGTGTGCTAGCCCTGTGAGTTTTTTCTTCAGCCTGGGAAGTCTTGTCTTTTTTTGATTTTGGGGCTACATCCAGGAGTGCTTGGAACTCTGCTCTCATGATCACTCCTGGTGGCTTTGGGGACCATATGGGATGCTGATGATCAAACCCCGGTTGGGCACGTGCAAGGCAGATGCTCTACCTGCTGTGCTATCTCTCTAGTGCTCCCAACGCCTCACCCTCCCCTAATTTTTTTCTTTAAATTTTCTAAAAATAAAATTTTAAAATACAGAAATATACCCTAGGTAGCGATGGAGCTAGAGTTGGTTGCTTGCGGGGAGATGCCTAACCCTCACTTCATCCAGGACTGTTTCTTTGCCAGCCCCAAAGCCCCCAGGCAGCCAGGTCCCTGCATCTGACCCCCGGGCGGCAGGATGTGGTTCTGACCTCTGAGCACACAGGACCCGCCTGCCCGGCCTCTTCCATGCTGCTTCTGCACATCCCAAGCCCAAAGACTGGGGTGCACCCCTGGGCTCCCTGCCCCCTTGCTGCCGTGCATGGTGCCCACTCTCGGCCCCCTGACTCAGCTGCTGTGTCTGTGCTGTGACCTTCCAGCAGCCTGCTGATGGCAGCCCAGGAGGGCAGCGAGGTTAATCATTGACCCTCACTCCAGGCCTCCTGGGCTGACCTTGACGAGACAAGACCAGGAGAAATGAGTCAGCCTGGCAACTCCCTGGAAACTGTGACCCAGAAACAGCTTCTGGGGGCGCCAGCTTATTCCTGGCCCCAAGTTCACAGCCGACATTCACATGGCGTTGGTGGGGAGCAGGACGCTCAGTGCCGTAGGCCTGCCACGGGGCTGGAGGACGGCCACCAGGCTGACAGACGGCCCTTGGACATGGTGCTGTGCCTGGCATGGCCCTCCCGGCCCCCCTCTTTTTACTTGAATCCTTCTTGAACTGTTCTGGATAATTTTTTTTTTTTTACCACACCAGGCATTGCTCAGGGTTCCTCCTGGCTCTGCACTCAGGAATTATTCCTGGTGGTACTCAGAGGACCATATGGGATGCCGGTGATTGAGCCTGGGTTGGCCACATGCAAGGCTACCCGCTGTGCTATCGCTCCACCCTCCCCCCCACTTCTGTTTTTAAACCTCTGCTGCTAGAAGGTTATTAAACTGATGAAATGGCAACCCACAGGCCATTGTAGAGGGAGTTGAATTGCAGGAGCCCCATGACACACCCTTTCTCCGAAAAGCGAGCTGCAGGGCTAAGGCTGGATTTGAAGTCCTGCTGTCCTGTTGAGGCTGGAGAGTCTCCTGCTGAGTGAAGAGAGTCACTAGGAGAGGAGTGAATCAGAACGACATCCCCAGTGTGGGGCATGAGGAAACACAGTGGGAGAATCAATGCACAAAGGCAGAAAACCCCTGAGACTGGTTTTTAGGGGGACATTTACCACGGCAGAGAGATGGGGTGGGAATTATGGGGGCAGGGCACCAGCAGAGAGTGTGGTGCTGGAGCAGTTTGTGTATGAAACTCTGCCATTAGCAGGATTGTAAACCAAAAAAAAAAAAAAAAAAAAGGGAGGGATGGTGTGATAGTACAGAGGATAGGGCAGTTGACTTGCACACAGCCAAACAGGCTTGATCCCGGGCACCTTCTATCTCATATGGTCCCTATAGCACCTCCAGGAGTAATCCCTGAGCACAGACTCAGAAGTAAGCCCAGACACTGCAGAAATGGGGGGGGGGGGGGGGGAATGAAAGGAAGAAAGAAAAAGAAAGGAAAGAAAGAGAAAAAGAAAGATGAAAGAAAAAGAAAGAAAGAAAGAAAGAAAGAAAAGAAAATAAAGGAAAGAAAGGCAGATGGAAGGAAGGAAGGATAAGAAAGAATGGACACTTTGATCAAGAGAGTCAGTGTGTACATGAGAGCAAGAGTATGTGTGTGAGAAAGGTATGTGTGTGTGTCTGTGTGTGTGTGAAGATGGTGTGTGAAAGAAACTATCAGGGAGAGGGTATGTGTGAGAGACATTGTATGTATGAGAGAGAGACTGTGTGTATGTGCACATTTGAGAGAAACAGAGTGTGTGTATGAATACATGTGTATGACTGAGAAAGAGAGTGAGATGGGGTGAGGAGGGAGAGAGAGAGAGAGAGAGAGAGAGAGAGAGAGAGAGAGAGGGAGGGATGTGTAGGTAGCCTGGGGTTTGGAGAGGCAACAAAAT